AAGGAGGCTGGAGGAATGGGTGGATGGGTGAAATAGTAGAGAGTGGAGTAGGAGAGTAGAAATGGAGAAAGGATAAATTTTTTGTAAGCAACTGCTATGACAAGAGGAACTCTCAAAAGAAAGATGTCTACAAAAGATTTTAAGGAAATTTTGCTGTTTGTGTAGTTTAATTCCTCACCTTTCTTCTTAACCCTCCATCACCTTTACAAGAGAATTCAGTAAAATCCTGCATTGCTCTTCAATGCCTTTAAAATCAGAAATACATTTTTGAGGTAATGAGGGTAATACTTCAATGATCATTTTATGTGAACAGGAAGCTCAATTCTTTTGGCTTACTTATATTTACATCTTTAAACCCCAGATCTCATGCCAAATGTTAAATTTCTATTATAATAAAATGCTAATTAATCTTTTTTTTTTCTTTTTTTTTTAAGATTTTATTTATTTATTTGAGAGAGAGACTGAGATAGAGAGAGCATGAGAGGGGGGAGGGTCAAAGGGAGAAGCAGACTCCCCTCCGAGCAGGGAGCCTGATGTGGGACTCGATCCCAGGACTCCAGGATCATGACCCGAGCCGAAGGCAGTCACTTAACCAACTGAGCCACCCAGGTGCCCAAAATACTAATTAATCTTATAATCTTTTATGTATGCTTAAATGTATGTATGTATATATTACTTTGGAAATTGAAGGGCCCATTGCTTTTAGCTAGAAAAGTGTATTATGGTTTCTCTTTCTCAATATCTTTCCTATTCTAGTTTGTCTTCCTGTACTATATATACCATTTCTGTTAAATTTCCTGGCTTTATCACTTTATGCTTAAAAGCTAACTTCAAAATAAAATCCATACTCCTCTTTTGGCATATAAAACCATCATTATGTAGATGCAACCTGATCAGTCATCTCTGCCTCTAGAGGGCATGGGTCAAGTGTGCTGAATACAGGATGCATTGTACTGCTTAAAAGTCCCTAAGCATGCTGCTATTCCTTCTTGTCAATGACCTTTGCATATATCATTTTAATATATTTTTTCTGTTTGCTTTTTATTTTTCATCTGATGATTATAACCTTCAAAATTCAGCTCTAATTCCATTTGTGTGTCTTCTCTGTATCCTCAAGAAACACAGAAAGCTTCTGCCTTATTTGTGTAGTTTGAGGTCTTAGAGCCTCCCTTTGTTATGGCATATACCACAGTATTGTGTAGTGACTGTCTTCATACCTATCTGCTGTTGGATTTGAGGATCGAGACCATGTCTTTTTCACATTTGTTTGCTTAGTACAGCGCATGGCTTATAGTAGGCACTAATTAAAATTTTGCTGAATTAAATTGAATTTGACTTTAGAGGGTCAAAAAAACTTCTTAAACTTCTTAAACAAATTACCTGGTATTTCCACCCAGAGCATTTCAGGGAAAAAAAGAAACACCATGCATCATAATTCTTCTAGGGGCATATTCCTCCATTCCTTCATTTATGCAAATATGATTGATGGACTCCTCACTGGAGGTAGAATTCTTCTAAGACTAGTCCTTTGTCATCTATTGGAGAAGGTGGTCTACAGAAGTCTTGTTTACAAAGAGCCAAGTTTTCTGAGATTTTGTATTGTAATATATTTTGAGAAGTAGGCTACCACCAAATGGAGGTAAAGTTTAAGCAAAGGAAGCAGGAAGTCCCCAGGTTACAGGGTACTGAGTACTACACGGGTGATGGAGAAAATGGATGGACAGCACCAACATCTGTAGGACCACTACTGATTTCTAAATGATAACTAATTTAGATTCTAGAATTCTTGCTATGTGGTCAACAGGTGAGATGGCCTAGAATCATTCCATTCATCTCAACCCCCTACCATCTAAAATCTTTAAAGAAGTGAAGACTGTTAATATGATCAATTAAATGGGGAGAAATAGGGCAGTTTGTGTAGTGTGTTAGGAAGAGAAAGTGGTAGGGGCATCTGGGTGGCTCAGTTGGTTAAGTGTCTGCCTTCAGCTCAGGTCATGATCCCAGGGTCCTGGGATCAAGCCCTGTGTGGGCTCCCTGCTCAGCGGGGGAGTCTGTTTCTCTCTTTTCCTCTCCCTCTGCCCCTGCTCGCTCATGTGCTCTCTCTCTTTCTCACTCTGTCTCTCAAATACATAAATAAAATCTTTTAAAAAAATCTTTTAAAAAAATGGAAGAGAAAATGGGGTAAGGGTTGTTATCACATGTGTATAATGCCTTCTTTGTGCCTAGTTTGTAAAAGTTTTAGATCCATTCTCCAGAATCCCCTCTCCCTGGGGCTTCCTCTTTACAACTGTATCTCCAGAGATGTTTTCCAGGGTCCTCTTATAATTTAGTTCCAGGAAATGAACTCTTTTGAGGCTTTTTTTTTTTAAAGATTTTATTTATTTATTTGAGAGAGAGAGAGAGAGAATGAGAGAGAGAGCATGAGGGGGGGAGGGTCAGAGGGAGAAGCAGACTCCCCACCGAGCAGGGAACCTGATGTGGGACTCGATCCCGGGACTCCAGAATCATGACCTGAGCCAAAGGCAGTCGCTTAACCAACTGAGCCACCCAGGCGCCCTCTTTTGAGGCATTTTAAGAACCATTTACCTTCAGGGACCAGAAAGAGAGAAATGTGTCTTATCTCCACTGCTGACCTATTAATTTTTGAAGTCCAAAATTAGAAAGCAGTAAGAAGTAGTAAAATGCTTTCTGCATTCTCTTCAATATTATCTCCACCAGAATATTACATATTTCTATAGGTAACCAGATAACCTATTTGTAATATAAAAGACACTGCAGCATGGACCTGACAACTGTTATGAAAGAACAAACAGCCACTGAAGAGTCATTTGCTCAGGAAAATTTTACTTTGCTCTTGTCAGTCCCTCATCCAATGTCTTATGCTCTGGAAGTTGCCCTCGTTGCTTAGAGGAATTATTTGTTGCAAATGTGCTACAAGCTGATAAAACTCAATCTTGGAGTCTTTTATTTTCTATGTTTGATATTTCATTAGGAAGTACAGTGGCTTTTTTTTCCTCTTTTTATTTTTACTTTGGCCTCTGATGGTGATAGCAGGTATCTCTCTTTCAATTTAAGTATAGTTGAGCTTGAGATTAGCTGCTTACAGATGCTGGTAAACCTTGCCATGTGTTGCCTAAGAACAAATTCTAACTTCAGTTTGAATAGCACCTTTCACATCAGTGCCTCAAACTGCTTCACAATAATACATCATCAATATTTCACAACATGGCATCACTGAGCAGCATATTCAAGGATTCAGCCATCACTTCAGATAATCTAGAGAAGAAACAACCAGAGGAAAGCAGGTCTTCTTTTTTACTGTACAGATAAAAGATACAGGTTTAATATTTCCAAGTGTTTTATGCTTAAACCATGTTGAGAAGAACAATCTAGCCGAAAAGTGCAAAACTGTTCCAGGGGCAAAAAAAGAAAAAAAAAAATCTCTTCCAGAGGCACCATTCATATTTGCATCAGTAAATGCAAATCAAACAAATATACAAACAAGTGTCTGTTGTACACATAAGTATTTACCTGATATTTCATTTGACACTACAGTTTTGAATAAAATCTATGAAAACATTTTTTAAAAATAATAACAATGAAAAAATAGTAAAAAAAATAAAATTAGGAGTAAAATTGTTATTTTATTTGAACAATTAATAAATTAATTAATTTGAAAATTAATGATGGAAAGTCCTAATTACTACCTGGGAATGCAAAAGCTTGGAACAAGAAAGGTCAGGCTGTATTTCTTTCTCTTCCTCCTCACCATAACCAGTATTCATCTTAATGCCTCTGGAATCCATATGTTTCTTCCCATTCTATTGCCATATCCATAGTCCAGGTACTCCTTTTTCACTTGGATTACCTCAGCATTTATCTGACGGGTTTCTCAAATCCAGTTTTGCCTGAGTATCCTACCTTACTACCCTATATATTCCTCACAGTAAGGGCCAGAATGAATTTTCTATCACTTAAATGGACAATGTATCTCTCTTCAGTTAAAAATACCTTCCAGTTACTCTTCATGGATTTCAGGATGTTTAAAATCCTTAGCGTGGTATACAAGGCCTTTTATGAATTGACCTCTGCCTGCATTTCCACCCAAATATCCTTTTGTTTACAAAATGAGATCCCGCATTGCCCAGCCCATTGAACTCTTTGTAGTTCCCTCTCTGTTATATCTGGACTTTTGAATGCATTGAACCTCTTACCAAAAAGATGTAATATTCTGCTTAATCCGTTTTCTCCCTCACTAAGGCAGGATCTGTTGCATTCAGCCTTTGGTGCCTGTTACCTTATAAACAATACCTGATTTCTGAATTGAATATAACTTAATATGAAGCAATAAAACTTCTATACAACTCATATCTTTTGTTTATTGAACAAAGCTAGACACAGGGTACAATATAAAAATTTTTAATTCTTAATATTTTACAGAAGTTATGAACCTCTTCTAGATTCTGTTGAAAGCTATAGATTCTCTTAGCCTGAGAAAAGGCACAGACGCTCTTACATGCACAGTTTTTTATATAGCTTCAGAAAGTTCATCATAATCTTGAATTCAATTTAGGGATTTTCAGCTAAAACCCCCTGCCTGCTCTAAGGCATTCTCATGTTGATAAACATACTATTGGGGAATTTGTTCATTTGGGTTGACTTGCTCTGTCTCATCACAATTTAGAGAATCATGGAATCTCAGGTTTGGAAAACCTTCCAATTATTATTTAGCCCAATTTCATACCTCATATATGAATTATCTCTATAATGTTTATGCCACATGCTTTCCTCCTTTCGTGATAAATTATATTGTTCAATTAGAGTGAAATCACAATCTCCTAAGCACATCTACTTTGAAAGATCCTGACTGTTTAAGAATTATCTGAGACTTCTGGTTTGAATTCAGACATAATAAGAGCTTGGAAGCCATCACTTTCATCTTTAAAATAAGAAAAAAGCTAGACAAACTAAACATCATCGATTTCTTTTGGACCCAACAGAGAACTGAGATAAAAGAGCCGACTATCTCCTTGAAGTCTGGAGAGTTAGGAGCATCCAGAGTCATAGCTGAGATCTGCTTACCTGGAACAGAAGTCACTGGAAGCACAAACTGGTAAGAACAATGAAATACTAATTCTGATGAATTTCTGGAGACTGGGTGTAGGCTAGCATGTAGAGTGAAGAACAACTGGGGACCTTTGTCCTGGGGGGTTCCCCACACTATTTTGACTTTTATTTCCGGAAATTCTACAAGGTTCCCAAGATAGAGCTTGGAGGAGGATTGCTTTGTAGCTCCTGCAGGAAGAGAAGAGTAATCACTGTGAATGGACTGGGAGCTTTCTCCATAACAAAGGCTTACTCTCTAGGGAAAAATACTTTACCAGATTTGTATTTTATTTGGGAACAGATATTGCTTCCACTTCAGAGCCATCAAACATTACTGTCTCACCAAAATGCATGCAGGGAAAACAGAGTCAGAAGGTGTTGGGGCAACAAGGAAATAGACTGAACACTAAGGTAGGAAAGAGTTGGAGGGGGAGCTGTACTACTGGAGAAACAATTCTGTTAAGTCACAGCTTAGAGACATAGGCCAGCCAAGAGACGGAGATTGAATCAGAAAATTATGTAATGTTTCCACCTACTCACACCTTATCACCACACAAACATGGCTTCAGTATAGCAACTGGGGGTTACAGCTCAAAAAGTTGTAAGATATAGGCTCTCTGAAGATGAATATTTGTGAAGTCTCAACATCAAGAGGGAGGACAAAAATAAAGACAATAGAGGAAACTGAAGCCTTGACCATCTATAGCTGTAGCAAACATTATACACAGCCCAACTTCTAACCAAATTAGAATAAATACACTAAAGTCCCATTTGTCTCAGTTTCCATTACCTGATACAACATATTTGACTTTCAACAATTTATTTCAACAAATTATTATGAGGTGTGTCAAAAGGGAAGAGGAAACATAATCTGAAGAGAGGAAGAACCAAATTTAGGTATGACAGAGATGTTGGAATTAACAGACAAGAAATTGAAATTAACAATGATTAATACATTAAGGAATCTAGTTGAAAAAGCAGACACTATGCAAGGAGAAAATGAGTAATGTAAGCACAGAGAGAGAAAAATCCTAGGAAGGAATTAAAAGAAAATCTTAGAAATTAAATACACTATAACAGAAATGAAGAATACTTTTAATGAACTCATCAGTAGATTTGACATAGTTGAACAAAGAATCAGTGAGCTTGAAAATAGGTCAATAAAACTTTCCAAACTAAATGGAAAAAAAAGAACAATAACAAAAAAATACCAGAACAGAACATCCAAGAATTATGGAACAGTTTAAAAGGTATAACATATACAAAATTAAAATTCCAAATGAGAAGAAAGAGAATGGGGTAGAATAAATATTTGATTTTTAATTTTATTTTTTAAAATAATTTTTAAAAATTTTAAATTATATTTAAAAAATTTTAAATAATTTTTAAAAATTTTAAAATTAAATAAAATATTTAATTTTAATTATTAAATGGCTGAGAAATTTCCAAATTAATGACAGACACCAAACAACAGATTCCGGGAAGCTCAGAGAATATCAAACTGATAAAGTAGAAAGAATAGAAAAAAATAAAAACAAAAAATGACCAAAAAACCCACAAAAAACTCCCACAGACTTGGCATATCATATATTCAAACTGCACAAAGCCAAAGAGAAAGAGAACATTTTGAAAGAATCTAAAGGGGACAACAAAACCACCTTGGTTGTGGAGGAACAAGGCAACAAAGATAGGAATTAAAGTATTTTGTTTTTAAAGTGAAACATAGTCTTGCCATATGACCCAGTAATCACACTCCCAAGATACTTACCCAAGTGATTTGAAACCGTATGTCTGCAGAAAAACCTGCATGCAGATGGTAACAGCATCATAATTCTTAATTGCCAAAAATGTGAAGCAACTAAGGTTTTTTTGGGTAGTGAATGGATAAACACACTGTGGTATATCTGTACAATGGCATATTATTTAATGATAAAAAGGAATGAGCTATCAAGCACACAAAGACATAGACAAATCCTTAATTCATATTGCTAAGTGAAAGAATCCAATCTGGAAAGGCTATATACTGTATGATTCCAATTTATGTATTTTGTAAAAGGAAAACTGTTGAGATGGTAAACATATCTATGTTTGACAGTGTTTTGGGGAGAAGTTGAATAGGAGAAGCAAGGGAATGTTTAAGATTGTGAAATGGTATTTTAATGGTAGAAACATGACACTGAATTTGTCAAAATCTATACAGTTTTACAGGTCAAAGGATGAACTTTAATGTATGAAAAATTGTTTAGAGTATTTAGGCGGTCAAGGAATCTCACCATGGAATATATAATGTGAAAAAGGAATCTATCTGTAGCACAAATGTATAAAACAGTTCACTGAAGGTAGTGGAAAGAATGGTGCTGAGGTATGCAACTTTGGAAAGAAGTAGAGTTGCAAAACTAGAGGCATTGTCTCCCAGTTGATAAAATTGTTCCCCATGGGCATATAGGTTAACAATTTTAAAATTAAGGAAGGGGATAGTGGATGGGGGAACCAGTTATCCACTGTTGGAGTGGAAGTTTACAAATAAGCAAATAGAGGAGGCTAGAATGATCCATGTGGGAGTGGATTAGAGTTTGGGACATTAGTATGAACTGAAGTTTTGGCTTAATATAGATAGATATGTGTTTATACATGAGTTGGTACGCCATATATATTTCCTTATTCTTTCAGCTGAGAGGCACTAGAAACAATGATACTCCAGTGACAATGAACACATATAGCACCTAGAACTTGGTTTCTAGTATCATTCTCCAGTGTAGTGCCAGAAAGTGTAGTGGAAAAATAAATAAGTAATAAATAAATAAATAATAAAATAGCATAGACAAATCTGCCATGCAGAATTCCAAATAATTTTATGTACATAATTTGCCCTCGAGGAGGTGGAACATAACTCCCCAGTCTTTAAGTGTGGGCTGCACACAGTGACTCCCTTTCAAAGAGTACAGTATAGAAAGGGAAGGAAAATTAGTTCTGCAGTGGAGAAACCTGACAAACACTACCTCAGCCAGAGGCAGATGACCAAGGTTAGGGTGATCAGCAGGGACAAGTCATATCGATAGTCTATACCTTTGGTATGATGTGATGAGAATGACCCTTTACCTATGTGATCTTCCTCCCCAAACCCATAACCCCACATCTAATCATGAGGAAAACATCAGACAAATCCCAACTGAGGCACATTCTATAAAATACCTGACTAGTACTCCTCAAAATATCAAGGTTATCAAAAACAAAGAATATCTGAGATACTGTCACATTCAAAAGGAATCTAAAGAGATTTGACAAATAAATGTAATGTGATTTGCTGGATGAAAACCTGGAACAGAAAAAGGATATTAGGTAAAAACTAAGGAAATATGAAAGAAATATAGGCTTTAAATTTATAAATATTCATTACTGATGACAAACTGTACAAATGGAAGATGTCAAAAATAAGGGAAACTTGGTGTGGGGTATATGTGAGCTTTCTGTACTATTTTTGTAACTTTTCCACAATCTAAAACTATTCTAAATAAAACATTTTAAAAATTAATGTGGTAGATTCCAACATATGGATATTATTTTATATAGTTGAGTTCACTAACAAGCCGTTCTTTGCTAGTTAAAAATTATATCCAGAGTAAGCAGTTTTTCTCACTGCCCTTTTCAGTCTGTTGAGAAATGAACTTGGCTGAAAGATGAATAATGCTCTTTTTTTTTTCTTTTGTTTATTGGATGATCAGCTTTTAGCAGAATTAGAATTAGATGTCTGAGTAGTTGCCTATCCTGTTATATATCCTGAATTAGTGCCAGTTTTGTATTTTTATATTAAAAACAATCTGTGGATCTACATTCTCTATAATGTTAGGTAATTTATTGCCTGTTCTCACAATACCACAATTTTATACTTATGTACTTGATCATTTCAGGCAGTTATTTTTCATTTCATTTCTCCCAGGATTCAGCTCCTATTTCTATTATGTTATTTACCAAAGAGTGTTATATCCATATGTTTTTCTATCACATTTAATTATGAAATGCCTGAAGGTATTTTTTTTTCAGTTAGCAACTATAATAAAACTCCAGTATTCAGTGACATACAATAATAAGCATTTATTTATTCCTGAAACTGTGAGTTTGTTTAGAGGTCAATTGATCTAATCTGAATTTAGCCGAGGTACTTCTTAATGTGTCTTTCTTTCTCCCCCTGAGATTAGAAAACTAGTCCAGATACATTTTTCTCATTGTATTGACCAGAGATGAAGAGAGCAAGTGGAGACAGGAAAGGTCTCTTGACAACTAGGTTTGAAACTAACACACCGTCCACCTTGCTTGTCTTTTTCCATTGGCTGAATCAGAGTATATGGCCGTTTCCAAAGTCAAGAGCCAAAGAAGTATTCTCCATCCACAGTGGGAGAACACTCTTTTCAAAGGATGGGGCACCTGGGTGGCTCAGTCAGTTGGGTGTCTGACTCTTGATTTTGGCTCAGGTCATGATCTCAGGGTCATGAGATTGAGCCCTGCATGGGGCTCTGTGCTCAGTGGGGAGACTGCTTGGGATTCTTTCCTTCCTCCCACCCCTCCTGCTGCTTTCACTCTCTCTCTCAGATAAATAAATTAATTAATTAATTAAAATCTTTAAAAACTTAAAAAAATAAATTTTTTAAAGGATATGGTATCAGAGAGGAGAAAATGAAGACTAGAAATACAACGAACAACTGTATTTTTTATTCACACTTTTCAATGTTCTGATCTGAGAACATGCCTGACACATAGCAGGTATTCATTAAATTTTTGTTGAATGCATGGATGAGTGAATGTTTGGCTAAGTAGCGAGATACTTCACTTTCTGAGGTTCATAGGTACAGAGAGATGCCCATGTATTTTGCGTGTAAAACTTTCAGTGACTTAGAATCATCCTAACATTGTCATATTATCTTTATGATTCCCAGTCAAAAAAAGCCTTGGTGGCATCTACAAAATATATTAAATTTCAAGTATTGTGCTTATATTTTGTGTATGAGAATGTAGCCTATAGTCACCTATCCAAAAATTATTTTTTTCTGCTTTATTTTTTGTAATTCCTTTC